GCACGGGGCACAGTGTGGTGCGCTGAGCGCGGTGGCGTAGTCGGTGGCTGATACAGCCACTGTTTCATAGTGCCTCGCCGTTCTCCCATGTGAGCTCAGGGATCTCCGCACGAATGTCCGGTGAGGTGTGAGTCTGTGAGGACTCTGCTTCTGCCGGTGGGTGTCCCGGAGCGTCCGCCATAGCGCACTCGCGGGATGGATGATGGCTAGGCGCCATGTCGCCGATGCTAGAGCCATCACTCTCGCCATCATCATCCATGAGGTCGAGGAAATAGGTGGGAGCATAGCTCGCCATTCCCACGAATTCGAGCATGAGAGGAGGCGGCGCTGGCATCCTTCGGAGTCCCTAGGCGTACGCGTCCGTGGGAGACGCGAGGCCGTAGGGGAACCGGTCGTATGGCGGTCGCATCAGGGACAACGGGGTCTCTTCGGGTAATCGGCGGAAGATAGAGAATAGTAAGTAAATAACAGCATGTACATTACTCACAGCGGGGTTTGAGCAGAGAGTTTGCTCGGAATGAAGCATGGATGCCATGTCGTCGAAGTCGTGTGTCCCAGAGTCGATGGAGGGCGCCCCTCCGACGGGTGCTGGAACGAGTGCCTCCTCGCGGAGGTGTAGTATGCCAAGCCGGTCGGTGATGAAGTCCAGGCTTCCGAAGAGGAAGGCCTAGGATGACTCAAAGATGGGTGAAACCCACATCCCAACAGGTGAGAGTGCGGGAAACTCCAGTGAGCCGAAGCAAATCGTATCGCCTGAGCCCGCCACGGCGAGGGTGGCGGAAAAGCGGGCCATCCAATGACTAAAAAAGTGTTGAACATACAGCGTCCTTCCCACGGACGGCGCCAACTGTCGGTGCAGAAAGTGACCAACACGTAAATAATTGTAGTTTTGTCGTACGTTGTGATCGGAGGTGGCCTAGCACTCAATGACACAAGGTTTATACTGGTTTAGGCAACGTGTCCTACGTCCAGTCTGAGTTGGTCGGTGACTTTATTCCTGAGCCTAGGTGCTCGAAGTTTGCAGTGGGATATCAAACGAGAAGGAGAAAGATGGGGTGTATAAGAGGTCCGGTCGGAAGGGCCGAGAGCGATAGGAGCTCCGCTACGAATTAAGTGTTCAAGCGTGTGCTTGAGGTCCGAACATGGCGGTTCTATGGTTGTGAGCTAGTAAACTTGGTTGATCTAATGAATCTGGGATGGCTGGGAGAGCCTGGATTGACCTTTTTCTTTTGGAACTGACCTGTACTGGAGGGAGCGCATTCCCTTTTATAGATGAAGGAGATGACTTTACAAGTGAGAGGGAGAGAGTACGTATGTTACTGAGCCTTGCTACCCACGCCGACGGGTATGAGATAATGGTAGGCGCCCACAACACTGTTGATGTTACTGCTGAGTGCCAGATGCATGTGGGGGGTGATGTTGCCTTCTTCGGGTGTGCAGACATTGGTACCTGCATATACTGTTGATGCCCAGAGGCACGTGAGGGGTTTCACCAGGACCACCTGGTACGGTAAATCTCGGCGCCCATAACACTATCGATGCCCAAAGGCATGTGGGGGGCCTTACCGTATGGGAGTTTAACGGCGCCCACAATACTGTAGAGGAAAATGTCGGCGCCTACAATACTGTTTGTGTCAGAGCGGTTGCAGAGTACTGTTCCTGCAGGTGACAGGGTATGGTTCCTGGTATCGTGGTTTGACTTGTGCTCCTTGTCTTGCTTTTCTCCGCACGTCTCCTGGTCCCTACCGGCGGGCATCACCGGTCGGTTGGTTCCAGTCGGCTCTGATCGTGCCAGTCGGAGAAGAGCGGTGAGCAGGGTCTTTGCATACCTCGGTCGAAGACACGGGGTCGGAGTCGGAGGTAGTGCTTCGCCAGGCCTTCCGGTCGGATAGACCGTCCGGAGGTGGCTGGAGACCGAAGTGAGCGCTCCGGCCGGAGAGGTGGGCCGGAGTCGACAAGCGTGCGTTGTTCCTCCTAGGCCAGACCTTTCGGTCGGAGACTGGATTGCTCCTCTGACCTGTTATTTTAGACTCTTGGGCCGGCCCATGAGTTGCGCGCTGTCTGCTTGGGCCGAGCCTTTGCGAGGGAAACGGTCTGCGAGGGACCCCAGGTTTATGAACCCGACACATTGCAACTCAAATAATATAACCAACACTTATAGCAACAAAAATATACATGTTAAACATACTTCTAACTAAATAATTAACCTTAACATCGACAACATCAAACTAATATTTCAATCCACCATTCAAACGAAAATAAAAAGGCGTCATTACCTTGAACGAGGCCGAGGAGGGAGGGAGGCGGCCAGGGAATGGAAGGGAAGGGAGGGAGGGAGGCGGCAACAGAGGGCTGGACGCCGACAGCACTTGGGAGTGGCGGGTAGGCAGGCGGCCAGGCGGGCGGGGAGGCGGGCAGGCGTGAAGGCGTGGTGGCCAGGCGCGAGCAGCAGGCGGGACTGGGCCGCGGGCCTTTATCCGGCTCTGTTGCGCCACCGATCAGCGCCCCGGTCGTCGCCACGTCATCCCTCTCGCCGCGCCACCATGCATGGCGTGGCACAGGCGTTTCGCCGCGCTAGGGAAATAGACGCGGCCAAAAATGTTAGTTTTGATAAAAAAATCAAACAATGTTAGATTTAAAATTAGTTTACAAATACTACTAGCCCCTCTATTCCGCGATAAGTGCACTTTTAGACTTTAAATTTTTACCCTAAAATAAGTACATATTTAGGTATGGGACTACCTATTTTTAATAGGCTTTACTATTTCTCTATTTTAAAGTGTAATTATTACATGCTTGAACACTTCTTAATAGTGGTTATAGTATGTAATTTTTCTAGTAATACTAAAGCACGTCTATCCCTGCAGGAGTGAAACTAAATGCAGGGGTACAATTTTTTATTTTTTAGCCATTTTTTGAAAAAATTTCATAAACATGTTTCTGAGGTAAGATTTCAAAATCTGGACCTTTAACTCGGCGGGCTCGACGCAGGCGTGACGGTGACATGACAGATAGCTCGACGCCGTAGATCTTGACGCCGAGCTCAGTACCATAAATCTTGACGTCAAACTTGACGTCGTAGGTATTAGCGTCGAGCTCGGTTGGGTGGCCGCATCGCCAAACGCCCGGATCTGAGGAGACCGCGGTATTGAAAATGTTGGGTCGTTGCTGTACTCGACTGCACATCATCCTATCCATCCATCAGCCCGTCACCCCATCATGTCCCTGTCGACGTATTAAAGTTCCTGTTCGTTTCGAGCGCTTGGCCGGGAAGCTCTCCACGTAGCAAGAAATACACTTGGCCATACCAAATTAATTGGTTCTCCAGCTAGACTGATCCAGTCGCGGTCGCGGCTTGATCGATCGATCACGTACGCTAGCTCGATGATCCAGACTCTCGGTCGACCGGCTGATCTTTTTTTTAATGATCTAGTTAGCCTTCTAAGCTTCTTCATTTCAATCTCCAGCGCTGACGAAGAACTCTAACAAATGAACACTAGCAGAATTGTCGCTCCATCCCACGACACGACGACCGCACGGCTGAATGTCTGCAAGCTTCTACGCCAGCTCTTACACAAGCAAGTGTCCGACGTTTAAATTATCAGCAAATTATACGCAGTAGCCATTAGCTAAGCACAACTGCACAAGCATGCACAATTATATACGTACGTATATAGCCCGGCCTAAAAAGTCGTAAACGGGTCTAGAGCACGTTCTCGAGTTGCTTGATCTGCACCGATTAGCCAAACGGGCACATAAACGACGTCTCTTTTATTTTCTTTTGCTTTGGAGTGGAGCACAAACTCGACGAGATGGTAGTATGTAGGAAGCACGATGTATGCGCGCTTGCCAGCTGAGGGACACAACTGGTAATACTGATTTTTTTTTAAAAAAATATCGGGCCTGGACACTCTCTAAGAAATATATTTATAATACAATATATATACTACGGAAAGAAACCTTGAGCAGAAGACACTCCAATTGTCTTCAGAAAATAATGGACCATTTTTTAGTCAAATAACGGAGCTAGCAATCGATCGTTTTCAATGGTTTGTCACGCGCAGCTTGCTATTTAATTGTGTAAATATAGTCATCGTACGCAACATGTGGAGCTATACACAGATCAATAAATGAAATAGAGAGCACATGGTAAGCGGTAGCTATCAGAAAAGAGTTTTCCCTATATACGCTTAGCTAGAAATTCATAGTTGCTAGTCGTCCATCTAATTAATTAGATTGATATACCTCATAGTTTCTCTTGCATGATAGCTGTATCTTTGCCTTAGCTACATGAGGGTACGGTGGTGCGCATGATTATTTGCGTGTGCAGCGTTGTGACCATGAGCTAAATAGAAATTCTAATTTACCCATTGAAATTTTGTCCTACATGGTTAAGTTTTGTAAGATGAAAGTTAAATTATCAAACTTAACCATGAGCGTACGTGATCGATCGATCAAGCCGCGACCACGACTGGATCAGTCTAGCTGGAGAACCAATTAATTTGGTATGGCCAAGTGTATTTCTTGCTACGTGGAGAGGTTCCCAGCCAAGCGCTCGAAACGAACAGGAACTTTAATACGTCGACAGGGACATGATGGGGTGACGGGCTGATGGATGGATAGGATGATGTGCAGTCGAGTACAGCAACGACCCAACATTTTCAATACCGCGGTCTCCTCCGATCCGGGCGTTCGGCGACACGACCACCCTGCCGTGCAGAGCTCGGAGGCAACATGTACGGCGACGCCAAGATGCATGGGGCTGAACTCGGCGGTAAAATTACCGTCGTATTTGCTTCGGGTCAAGAGCTCGACGCGAGCGACGATAGCACCGAGATAGGGTTTAGATTTTGAAATCTTAACTCCGGAGATATATTTGTGATTTTAAAAAAAAAAGCTAAAAAAAAAATAAAAAAAATTCGGCAAATTCGTTGGATCCTGCAACCAAACCAGCCATTAAATCGGCAGGACAAGTCCCCAACCAAAACCCCAAATTCCCCATGGCTCCACCGACGCAGCCAACTCCGCGCCGCCTCCAATCCCCTGCGGACCTCGCCGACGATGCCCTCAGGGAGATCTTCCTCCACCTCGACTCTGCCCCGGACCTTGCCCGCGCCTCCTTCGCTTGCGCCAGCTTCCGTCGCGTCATCACAGACCACGGTTTCCTCCGCCGCTACCACGCCCTCCACCCGCCGCCGCTCCTCGGCATCCTCGCCAGCGGCTTTATCCCCGCGCAGCCGCCCCACACCTCCGCCATCGCCGCCCGAGCCTTCGCCCAAGCCGACGCCGCAGACTTCTCGTTCTCCTTCCTCCCCATTCCGCACCGCTGGCGCCGCCGCGACAGCCGCGACGGTCGCTTCCTCCTCTCCAGGGTCCCCACGGGTAGGGGATACCGTCGCGGCGATCTTCTCTGGATCACGGATCTTGCCGTCTGCGACCCTGTGCACCGGCGCTACCTCCTGCTACCGGCCATCCCAGCCGACCTAACCGCCGCTGTCCATCAGCCAGACATCGTTGATTTCGAGACCTTCCTTGCCCCTGCTGCTGAGGATGACAAGGACACGTCATTCAGGGTGATCTGCTTGGCGCAATGCGCAATCAAGCTGGCCCTCTTCGTCTTCTCATCTGGAGAAGGGCGATGGCATGCTGTTACATTTGACGACTGGAGTGCTATGATTACAGGGACCGGAAACACAGCTTCAACAGGGACCGGCAATCCTGCTTCAGGATCAGAGTTGTCCCAACGCTACTATGCCCACAGATGCTTCTATTGGTTGATGCATCGGAGGAACAAATTGCTTTTGCTCAACACAAGTGGGATGGAGTTCTCTACTGTTGAGCTCCCACAGGACTACACCGGAGAGATTGCCATTGTGGAGGCAGGGAAAGGAAAGGTTGGGATGCTTTCTCTCTACAGTCTTATTCCACATGGCACGGTTCATCTCTCGTATGCCATCTTGCAAAATGATGGTGAGAACGCAAACCAATGGCAGCCTGAGGAGGTGCTCCCGTTGCCTGAGAACCATCGCTATGACATTGTGGGTGTAGCTGGGGGATATTTGCTTCTTCAAGGGATTCCAGAAGGCGTGTCTCTTTTACATCCCCCAAAGAATCCAAACTTAACCTGTTTTTCGCTGGAGGTCAAGGCATTGCACCTTGAGTTGTTCTGTCAAACTAACCATTCCATCTTACATGCTGAACTGTATGCCGGTCACCCACCATCTTTGTCTCCACCAAGTGTATGAAATGGTAAGGTTGTGCTCATAGTCTTTCTTACTTGTATTTTGCGCACAATAAGACATTTCACTATGATGAAGATATCAGTCTGATGCATATGTGTCTTTACATTCTAGTTATCTTGCAAACAGTCTTCATTGCAGTTCTGTACTGTTTGGTGTTTAGGTGATATCTGATATGTATTCACACCACGTGATCAGAGAGCTTATGAAACTCAGAAGAGCAAAATGGATTTATTTTCTTATCTTGTGAACATGCATACCATTTTCAGACTCATACAAATTGCAGAAGAAAAAAACATGTTAATCCCCAATGACCAAGGTGTTTGTATTTACTACTTCTAGGACATTTGTGCATTCTACGTGGCAAACTATATGTACTCCATATAGAGGTCTTCAATACTTTGCTTGTAACTAGGTCTGTCTTCTAGAAGTTTTAATGGGTGGCTTTGATGAGGATGCTCGCATCCTTTCAGATTGATCTCAGTAGTCAGTATTTCTGTACTTTTTCAATTTTTCATTTATAACTTTGTTTAGAGTAGTGAAGGGCGGGCCTGGTGTAAGTGGTAGAGTCTTACCGCCTGTGATCGGAAGGTCCCGGATTCGAGTCGCGGTCTCCTCGTATTGCACAGGCGAGGGTAAGGCTTGCCACTGACACCTTTCCCCAGACCCCGCACAGAACGGGAGCTCTCTGCACTGGGTACGCCCTTTAACTTTGTTTAGAGTAGAAAGTGCAAGTGTCTTCATAAATATGTCCGAGAGTATTTATGCAATGGATAACGATGTGCTGCTGTCTTTCTTGCTTTACATCTCTAGTCTTTCATTTACAATGAATAATGATGAGCTTCTTTATAGTCAATGCCGAAAGGACGGCCTGGTGCAAGCAGTAGAGTCTTACCGCCTGTGATCGGAAGGTCCCGGGTTCGAGTCGCGGTCTCCTCGCATTGCACAGCGAGGTAAGGCGAGGACCCCCTTGCAGGCGGAGCTCTCTGCACCGGGTACACCCTTTCTTTATAGTCAATGCCGTACTCGAGAATTTGGAGGCCCGGTGCACCTCGCATTGCACAGGCGAGGGTAAGGCTCGCCTCTGACACCCTTCCCCAGACCCCGCACAGAGCGGGAGCTCTCTGCACCGGGTACACCCTTTCTTTATAGTCAATGCCGTACTCGAGAATTTGGAGGCCCGGTGCAAAAAAAAAAAGGCCCATTACAATTTAAAGAAAAGAAGACATTGCTCAAAAATAAAACCTGATTCGTATTTTCTATTTCTAAAAGATATTGCACAAAAATAAAACACCAGCAAGATGCCAAGATGCACAAATATAAGCAAGAATAGGAACAGACAACATGTATTAGAAACTGCACAACATAGAGATAAAGATAAAAAGGGTTGAAACAATTCCAACCAAGATGGGACGGCAACTATGCAAGTTGCTTTGCCAATGACCAATCGATGCAGCACCCACGTGTGGTCGTGCGTCCGATAGTCCAATCGCCAACTCCAACTCCAACTCCAACTGATGCTGTGATGCACAGCGCAGGGCGTAAGGATTGAGTAGATGAGAAATTGGAATGAACTAATTCTATAAATATATGTGAGAACTGAGAACCGCCGTACCTATTGACTGCCATCAACGAATTCATTCTGGGAAAATCATGAATGATCTGTTGCTGGACGAAGAGAATTGAGAAGGGAGTTAATTCCTTGGAGAAAATTTCTCCCATTTGTGTGGCACGGAGCTTACTGATTGGGAAGATGAAAGGGGGTGAGAGATGTGGTGCCTGTTCGGCTGTTCGTGCGGCGGCTGGACATTAACTCGAGGTAGGGGAGTGGGAGCATTGATGGGCATAGCTGGGTGGGCCCCATGAGATGTTGGACCGTGGGGATGTATAAAAAATCTTTTTCTATTGCTAATGTATTCATCATCTATCTGCTGATTAGTACACTAGTTGAATACATTAGTAATAGGAAAAGGCTTACATTAGAAAATTTGGAGGCCCTGTGCAGGTCCCTGCACAGGCTTGCGATACGGACCTGTATATAGTGGTAGTCTGTTTTGTCCATGTAGTAGTTACTATAGATTGTTCCACCTGTTTATACTGAACAGAGTCCCATTGTTGATATAATCCTAACTTGGGCTATTTTTTTTAATGTTGAAATACTGCCTTCGTGTGTGTGGCAGTTCACTCTGATTGTTTTACATGCATAGATGCATTGCTGGCAGTCGTTGGGGGCTAGGGGCAAAATCGGTATTATTATGTTTAGCCACCATTTTGATGATTGTATATGAATTGTCAAACATATCATTGAATTGTTTTTTCCCTACTTGAACTATATATTGAATTGGTTGATCTTAAGAGATTGGCACTATCCTTTAACAAGTTATAAATCGATAAGCAGACAGTTATAACTAATAAACTTACATATTATGCATCTGAATTATGCTGATGCTTATGCCTAGCAAAATGTTTGCTATTTAACTGGTATACTACATGGATTCATGGAAAGAGAACTTTCTGGACAGGTGTTTGTTTCGTTATGCACAGCTATAGACTTTAGGTAGCTATAAACATTCAAATCCAACTTTAGGCTCAGATTACAGAATAGTGGCATTTAGTAAGTCTCTGAATGCAAGTATTTGCAATGCATCACTCTCTCAGTTCTGAAATATAAGAGATTTTCAGTTGTCCTAAGTCAAACCATCTTAGGTTTGACCAATTTTGTAAAGAATATTAACTTCTACCAAATCAAAAGAGGCAATACATTTCATAATGTATCTAATGAAGCTTATTTGGTATCATAAATATTATTTTTATTTTCTTTAAATTTGGTCAAACTTAGGATGGTTTGGCTTAGGACAACTGAACATACATTATACTACTCTTTCAGAACGTAGGGAGTATATCACTATTTTCTGCCCTAAAAGATATTGCTGTTTTCTCACTACATCTTAACGCAGGTCTAGGTGTGTTGCTACTGACGTTTCTACAAGGAAGGCTGTTGCACTGCACTTCAGCTGGGCTAATTGGCTGATTTGTCACTTCTCCAGGCGTTTGTGAGCGTGTATCATGCACCGATTTTCGTTTGGCTGTAACTTTGATTTGTACAGAAGAATTAGTAAACATCTTCGTGGCTCAACTGCAAGAGTGTTCTGTTGTAGTATATGTCATCTTACACCGTGCAAGTGCAAGTGCTACTGGTTCGTGTTATTTGTTTCATTACCTACAGTTTCCTGTGGCCCCGTTCGCTTGGCTGAATTTGGCTGAAAAACACTGTTCTGGTTGAATTGTTGTGAGAGAAAAATACTGTTCCGGCTGGAAAAAGAAGCCGAATAAGCCGGATTATAAGGTAAGTCGAACGGGGCCAAGCGCATGGTCCGTCGATGCTGCGGCTTGGCAGAGAGTGTTTTTTTTTTTTGAGAAATGCTTGGCACAGAGTTTGTAAATGTAGATCCAATCTGTTTAGAGGGGTTCACATCTGTCCGTATTCAAGTCTAGATATTCAACATCCGATACCGTATGTATATCCAAATACTCAAATAATATATTTATGATGTCGATATCCAATCGTATCCTATCCGACATGGACACTATTCGAATCCGGACAGAAATGAAAATAAATGTAATATCAGTGTTATTCGTCTGTCCGATTCGTTTTCATCTTTAGTTACCGGGCAAATGTTAAGCAAACCAAAATTAGAGTATATCTACTACCACATAAAAATAAGAGGAGGTTTCGTGCACTTTTTTTTTATCGTGCGCGCGCTCGCCCGTCCGAGACCCAACCACCAACCGGGGTCCAATTGCCGTCCGAGACCGAGCGACGAGCGGGTGGGATTTGTAGGGAAAAATGAAATTGGCCGGCGACGTGGAAAAAATGAAATTGGCCGGCGACGAGGCGCGGCTGATGCTCGATGTGGATTGGCAGGCTAGCTAACTTCCATGCCAGACTGCGTGCGCGTGGAATTGGACGGAGGTGCACTGGTTGGGGCAAATCTAAAGAGTAAATTTGTTGTGGCCAGCTCGCGACACCAGCATGTCCACGGTAGCAAAAAAAAATTTGCTCGTCTGATTCGTGATCTGTGGTTCTTGTGCCGTTTTGTCCGTCTGCCCAAAACCGCGCGGGGGCCTCGGTGAGTATATACTGCCTCCAACCCAACTCTAGCTCTCTTGTGCATCTCCTCCCTCTCCCTCCTCTCTCTCTTGCGCGGCGTGGCGTGGCGCCAGCGAGGCTGCCTTGTGCCAAGCAAGGGCGGCGCCATGGCGGCAGCGCTTCGGCTCTCCAGCTCTCTCGGCTCGGCGCTGGTGCGAGGCGAGGGGCAGCCATGGCGCCTAGTGACACCTTCCCCCCCCCAGGGCGGTGCGGCAACATGAGGCGCAGCGCTTCGCAGCTGCTGGTGTCCCCTAGTGGCGTCCCCAGGACGCGGGGGCTCCGGCACGAGCAGACGCAGGTGAAGGTTGCCTCCCACCCTGCTCCTCTCTTTCCTTCGCCGATGGCCAGCGTCGATCTGTGCTTGTTGCCTTCTTTGCTGGGTCGATCCGGGGCCTCCATGGCTGGATCTGGTGCCTCCATGGTCGGATCGGTCCTCCCGCGCTTGTGGTCGCCGTCTTGGGTGAAGAGCCGCCTGCGCCCTGTGGCCGAGCTGCAGGGTGGTCACACACAGGTCAGTCGAGGTGGGCTAGGCCATGGCAGTGCCCTCAAGCTGGACCAGTGTCGTCCAAACTTTGGAGCAATTCATACGTTTTTTTTTTTTGTTCTTTCATTTTTATTGGTTGGCCAGTGTCGTGATCTGTTCTTTATATGCTGACAACACCGACTTTTCTTCTTGCCTGTAGGTTTGCATTAGATCTGAGGTGTCTCATGCCAGCATGCACACCATCGACAAGTTCCCTGCCCATCCGCGTATGCCTGCTTGCCACCTGCTACCTGCTTGAGAAAATGACTAAACCGATGCAGGTCAGTTCAGCTTATACTACTTGCAAAGCCTTTCACTTGGTGTTCTAACACA